CCCCCTCTACTCTGCCCTGGTGAGGCCACAGTATTGTGGAGTATTATGGAGTATCTGGAGTATTGTGTCCAGTTCTGGGCCCCACAGTTCAAGAAGGACAGGGAACTGCTTCAGTGTCCAGCACAGAGTCACCAAGATGATTAAGGGAGTGGAGCATCTCCCTTATGAGGAAAGGCTGAGGGAGCTGGGTCTCTTTAGCTTGGAAAAGAGGAGACTGAGGGGAGACCTCATTAATGTTTATAAATATATAAAGGGTGAGTGTCACGAGGATAGAGCTAGACTCTTTCTGGTGACAACCAATGATAGGACAAGGGGCAATGGGTGCAAGCTGGAACACAGGAGGTTCCGCTTAAACTTGAGAAGAAACTTCTTTACAGTGAGGGTGACAGAGCACTGGAACAGGCTGCCCAGGGTGGTTGTGGAGTCTCCTTCTCTGGAGACATTCAAAACCCACCTGGACACCTTCCTGTGTGATCTCATTTAGGTGTTCCTGCTCTGGCAGGGGGATTGGACTAGATGATCTTTCGAGGTCCCTTCCAATCCCTAATATTCTGTGATTCTATGATTAACAGCAGCTCCTATTCGGTGATCTTTATTTTATGTGTGCCAGGGTTCCACCACTTCTGTGACTAAGATTCATCACTTGATTCCTTTCCAAAACCTTAAGGGCTAAATCCACATATGGATTTAGATGCCTGTCTACCTACTTCTCCTGGCCTAGAACAAGACATGAAGGAACACGTGGTCAGGTGGAATAATTTTAAGCTTTCCTATGGATTAGAGACAGCACACTATTTACCATGTTAATGAATTTATTAATGAACTAGTTCTCCCCAAAGATTTACTAAGGGATAAAGCAATCAGAAATTCAACAACAACCTTGCTAAGAGATAATTATTCACTGCTGGGAAAAAAAATAAATGCAAGTTAATCCCAGATCACAACCAGAGGCTCTATACAAGTATAGTGCAGATCTGAAATGTGAGCAGGCTGTGATGCTGAGCACACAGAGGCTCCTGTACAGGTGCAACAATGCTCCATTTTGCAACCCTTCAGTGAGACTCCCCCCTTTCTTGCAGAATCGAAGTTAGGCACCAGAGAGTTTGGCATTTA